AAGAAGCGAATGACTTTGCTCTCCTGGTTTGCCATGCTCTCTCTTCCTAACCTCCCTCGGAGACGAACCTGGGAACTGCACACAACTTGAAGTTTTGTGGTTTGGCTGTGAGAACTCAGAGCGAAACTATCTGAAGCTAAAAATTATTAATGTTGAAATGTTTTAACCCACTAAGTAAACTGAAAGAAATAATGAAACGTAACTCCAGTTGGCCCATCAGAGCATACATTTTTTTTGAGTCTAGGAAGGGAGGATAAAAAAATATGAAGAAAATCTGAGGTTGCTAAAGAATTAGAAATCAGCTATTATAGCTTAAGTAAATGTTATTATTCCAGATTTTATTGTGAAGTGAAACAAACAAAAAGAAAAACAAACCAAACTCAGAAGTCTTATAATGTAATTCACATGATGTTTTACTTCTCCCAAGAGTATACTGAGTCAGTATCTAAAAACAATGAAGTAGGAAAAATGCAAGTTATACTGGTTTAAGTTTTCAGATTTTCTAAACCTGTTTTCCTTAAAGATGGAATAATAAAATAATGCCTTACATTTTCATGGTATTTGTTATGTTACTGCATATTTTCATATATATCAATTTTAATTAAAATGATGGCTTGTTTTACGTTTCCACTAAAAATCACAAAGCATTTAATGAATTTAAGTTCATTAAATCTTAGACCATATCTAAAATCTGGTATCTAGATGGTAGGCATAGAAAGGCAGTCCTCTATTGCTCCATGAGTTCACACTTTAATGAGTAACCTTTTCTCATTTTCTAGATCCACTTTCAACTTTAATTGACAAAAGTTACCTTTGCTCTGACATCTGATGATTAATTTGACCCTTGTTGTCTTTGATAATGATGAAAAGTCTGTGAAAAATGTTTGGAGCATCTCCAAACCAGAATGTCTAAGATGGCCCATTAAGTTGTGGGCCAATAGAAAATATTAGACTTTTATTGGTATTTCAGTCTAAAAAATGAAATAAACCTAATTAATATTTAGTATACAGATTGAAACTGGCATCCTCACTTGGTCTCTATGTCAGACTGTCATGTGTCAGGTATAGTAGTCCATGAGGAAAGGATACAGAAGATTGATGGAGGTACCTTGCTTGTATCTTTATTTTCAGCGTATTTGGGTGAAGTGTAGTTCTACATATACCTAGTTAGGTGGATTTAGGGATGTAACTAAACCAAATCTTCCAAAACAGACAAATGGCATAGAAAGATTCCTGCAAAGAAATTGTATGCTGAAGACAGTATTAATAATGTGAGCAGAAATGAACCACATGCACATAAAAGAGCTGATAAATCTCCTTTGACTAATGAACTGCAAAGCAATGTCAATCCAATCCCACCTGAGAAGACATCCCCCCAATTTTGAAATAACAAAGAAGACAATTTCTTATATGGAATTGTATCCGTTATTGCTAACAATGCAACTTTCTCTGTTGTTTTGGAGTTTCTCATATGGAATTGTATCCATTATTATTAACAATGCAACTTTCTCTGTTATTTTGTCCTTTGAAATGCTGGCTAGTGATAGTAGGAAGCCATCATAACTAAGAAACAAACAAGCCAGGAAGACAGATTTCTACAAGTTTTTCAATGATATTTAAAATCATGCGATACATAGTTCAGTATCTAGAAAAATTCATTAAAATTAATGACAGATATTTAAAAGTCTCTTTTGAGTTTTGTTAATAGCAAAAGACCAAATGTAATACATTGTTAATAACATTAGGGATGTACTTGTTCTTCCTGTTACAGTGAAACGGATGAAATAAAACACAGGAACAACATAGCAACAACTTAAGTGGATTCTTTTGTGAACAAATGTTTTCAGAAGATACAGAGAAATCATTGCAGATAATTTGAGGCATCAAGATTAAAACAAGTTATTCAATGTGAAATGATGCTATATAATTAATGTACAGAAGTTTCTAACATGGCCCAGATTTTTATATTAGATTATGTTTCGGTAATGAAATATAGGTGGAACCAAATTTTTTGTGTGTGCCATTAAAGATGTGTTAGGGAGGGTATATTCTCAAAAATAAATGACTTCTTGAGTATGAAACAATGTCTTTGAGAAGAGTGCCTGGGGTAATGGTAGTGTTCTGACTTGATAGGGTTTTAGATTGCATACGTATTTGCATTTGTTGGAGCCAATCAAATGGTACACTTAAGATTTGTGTATTACATTGTATGTAAAATTTATCTCAAAAGAAAAAAGAGACATACATGTTAAACTCAGGTTAATGGAATATGTGCCGAATTTTTAGGGGAAAGTATATTGATGACTTTCATTTTGAAATGCACTAAAAAACCATTAAGTATTTATGGGTGCATAAAGGGAAGGGCTGATGGACAGATTAGTGTAGTCTAGTCTAATAGTACAAATACTGTTAAGGGCAGGGTCTAGGAGGAGGGTATACAGACATTCCCTGTAAAATTCTTTTAATTTTTCTGTTGTATCATCCTTAGGCAATCTATAGCAAAATAAAAGTTGATGTCAAATGTGTGAAGAGTGCTTAGGAGGATATTAATGTTAATCTTTATAAAAACCTGGCTGGTAAAGTGTAAAATCTCTTTAGTACTCTGAAATGAGATGGGGAGTGGCCATGAAAATCATTTGAATTACAAGAGCTTCTTTTGGTTACCTCTCAGCAAAGATTGTAAAAGAGTTGCTGAGTTCCAGGATGGGTGAATCATATTTTTTTTAAATGAAAAGACAAGTTAAATTTGTTGATTTACATGACACATGGCTATGTAGTATGCCTCAGAGCAGATTAAAACCAAACAACCAACCAGTGGACCACTCTTACCTATCCCATCAAAGTAAAGGTGATGTTTTAACAATGAGTGAGAAAGTAATTGCCTTTTTAAAGACAGAGGGTAAAATAGAGAGCATTTTTAAAATCACTGCTTGGAAACATTTCTTTTATAATGTGGTGTTGTCAAGGATGTGTGTGTTTTATGAAAACTTTATCACCTGAACACTTTAAAAAACTTGTAACAGTATTTTCTGTACTGTTGAACAACCTTCCAAATGAAGAGTTTCAGTTGATTTTTAAGTCAACTGTTAAGAAATATTAAAATCCAGTATCTTCTGATTAGTTTGCAAGAACAATTGATTGACATGGGAGAAGATGGAAATTTATTAGCCAAAGTTCAATAAAGGTTTTTGCTAATTGATGAAAGATATTGAAAAAAGAAAATAGTGATGTAGTAAGTACAACAAATGATTAATTCCTTTAATTTTAGTCCTGGCATTTTTGAAATTATACCGTCTTTAACTATACATCCATTGCAGTTAAGTACTGAAATAAGGGTAGGACCTGACATTTCAATCACTGAATTACATAGTCTTTAAATAAGTATTTTAAAAGTAACATAATTTCATTTGTTATTTTCATTACCATTATTCCACTAAAAGTATTAATACTTAGTTTTTATGAGAGTGAAAAGATCTGTACATCTAATCAATAAGATATGAAACTATTTTTAAGTGCTTGTAATCTTTTCTTTTTTAATCCCTATTTTATGTATGTTTTGTAATGCACAGAACATATTAGTAAAATAGTATGTGTATAATAAATGTGCATATATTGAAGGACATACTAAATTTTTTGTTGGTTGTTTTTGGTTTGTCCAGATTGTGTAATGAAAGAAGTTTGGAAATCCCTTTTCACTGGGCACTCATGATCTGGCAAACTGTTACTGGCAGCAGCAATTATTTATCCTTAAAGTCTAAATCACTGTTTTAGAGATTATAGATCAGTAAATAGCTTCTAACTTGTGAGCTTTTATTTTTTAATATTGAACCTTGATAAATGAAGTTTAATTGTGGTCTAAATTCTACAAAAGTGGTTCTCAGAAGTGTAGAGGAACATCAGCATCCCCTGGGAACTTGTTAGAAATGTAGACTCTCAGGTCTGATCCCAGACCTTCTCAAGTGTGAGGGCCGCTGGTCTACATGCTTTAGGTTCATGGGCCATCCCTTCTGGTTCTATCTGCTTCATGATGTGTCCAAGACAGTTTCTTCATATCCACAGTATGTCTCTCAGTCTTAGCCCAGACTTTTTTTTCCATCTCTACCTGAGATACTCTTTCTCCTTCTTCCATCTTCTTTTCCCTTCCTCTTACCATGAAGAATTGTTCTTTAGTGTTATTTTTACAAAAGGGATAGATAGTCCTTCTATTTGGATGCCAGAGCCAATGTAACAAATAACATGTGTTCAAAAGGGATTATTTTAGCATTTCCAAATTAACTTCTGTTAACTACTTCATTTGACTTGAATGTACATGCAATTAATGTCCTATTCTTTTCCATCTATACCCTCTTGATTTAAAATTTTATGATCAAAATAGCTTTCCACCAACTAAAACTTTAAGATATATGCTTAAACATATGAATCAACTAGATTCAGCAATTGTTGATTCTGTTATATTTGCTTTATCTCTTACTACACACACACATACACACACTTTTTTTTGCAGAATTATTTGAAAATAAATTGTGTATATCAGTACCTTTCACCACTAAATACTTTACTCTTAAGAATGAAGATTAAAGTAGCTTTTAAGGGGATTAGTACAAAATTGTTTTGAAAGGACAGTTCATAACAAGTGCTAAATCGATTATTGAAGCCTGTTAAATATTTTCAAGATCCTTCTATAAATATCTTAATGAGGAAAAGGTATAGAACTCCAAGTTGTGGGTGTATGAATGAATCCTCCAGCCTTTCTGAACCAAAGTTTTTCATCTGAACTATGAAACACAGAGGATGATTTGAGTGACTATTTTCTTATTTCTCCCAGGATGGTATAACAAGTACCAATCCAGATGCATAGGAGAGGAGCTAATTTATTATATACAATGAACTTAGGTTAGTTGGGCTGTGTATGTGGCAAGTTCTTAAAAGGAACTTGCTTTGACTTTTGCTGTGTCTGATGGTTTGTGATGTTTACACAAATAACTTTTTTTTTTTTTTAGATTACAGGGCCACCAGGTTGTGGAAAAACTCAGTTTTGTATGATGATGAGCATTTTGGCTACATTGCCCACCAACATGGGAGGATTAGAAGGCGCTGTTGTGTACATTGACACAGAGTCAGCATTTAGTGCTGAAAGGTAGGAGATTTTTGTGGTTTTTCCATAATAAGGCTTTATTTTTGTAACTTGTATACAGCATGTAAAATTTTCAAATAGGTTAACATTTACCTCTTTTTTTTTGAGAACACAGAATGCTAGATAATGTTTTATAGTAATTTTCCTTTTAAAATTGACACTGGAAGCAGTGTCTTCTTTTATTGAAGTATAGTTGATAAACAATATTATATTGGTTTCAAATATACAACACAGTGGTTCAACAGTTACACACACGTTATTAAATCCTCACCCCAACTAGTGCAGTTACTGTCAGCATAGGAAGATATAATAGAATCACTGGCTATATTCTTCATGCTGCCCTACTATCCCTGTGACCAACTTACATTATGATTAAGATTTTTGTGCCCCTTTATCCCTCTTACCCTCCCCACAACCTGACCCACTCACCCACCCCAACCCCTCTCCCATGGTAGCCACCAGTCACTTCTCAGTGTCTTGAGCCTACTGCTATTTTGTTCATTCTGTTCTGTTTTGTTTTTATATTCTACAACCAAGTGAAAAGATATGGCATTTGTCCTTCTCCACTTGCCTTATTTCACTTAGCATAATAGCTTCTAGGTCCAT